TGTGTGTGTGTGTGTGTCAAAAGAAAAACTAGATTGGGCTTCATGAAAATGAAAACCTTTCCACTCCAAACAATACCATTAAGAAAGTGAAAAGACAACCCACAGAATGGGAGAAAAATATTTGCAAACTATATATCTGATAAGGGATTTATATCCAGAATATATAAACAGCTCTAACAACTCATTAATAAAAAGATAAATAAGCCAATGTAAAACTGAGCAAAGGACCTACATAGACATTTCTCCAAAGAAGATACACAAAAGGTCAATATATACTTTTAAGAGATTCTCAACATTATTAGTCATCTAGGAAATACAGATCAAAACTACAATGAGATAGCACTTTACACCCACTAGGATGATTATAATAAAAAAGGCAATAATCAATGTTGATGAGGGATGTAGAGAAATGGGAACCCTCACACTGCTGGTATAAATGTAAAATGTGGTATATCTGTACAATGAAAACTGGGGGCAAGGTAGAAGGGAACGGGAGAGTGGGGAGCAGTACTGATCCCATGAGAGCCACTGTGAAACTAAAGCTGTGGACCCACAATTTCTATTTTTTTTTGAAATGGAAAGAAAGAAGGAAAAAGGAAAAAAAATTCTGAAAAGACAAAATGTTCCCATTCACAATAGACGTTACTACTACTGTGGTGAAACAGAGTTCCAATTAACAAGGAGCCCCTCCTCCCCACCTCCAGCTTAGGCAGAAATCCGTTAGCAATTTCCCACTCCAATGGCGTGATTCAGCTAAAGGGAACAAGCATTTCATGGAAACACTCCCCTGCCAAACTCAAAGCTTGTTGTGGGTGTAAAAGAAATCGACACACTCAGAGCTTTTGTTTGAGAGGAAGGATGAAGGGTTGGGGAAGAGAGAATGGAGTAACTGCTGTGCTCAGATTTAGATAAAATAATTATTTTCTCCCATTCTTTGCTTCTCTCAGTACGTCTCCCCTGAATCCCTATTGAACCTAAAAAACATTTTGCTTAAATACCCAATAGACAGTAAAATTAGCTCTTAAAACTGTATTATAAAATGAGAACACAAGTCCCTTCAATGTGATGTGTTCATCTTGTCTGTTTTTTTATTCACTTGGGGAGTGCAGGTAGTGTTTTGCTGACAGAAGCCCATAAAAATGCACAGTCAATTGCAGTCACATGACCTTTCCATCATCAACAGGTGAATATTATGGGAAAGGAGAGAAAGAAAGCTAATTATTAATGCTTTATTAATGTGAAATATTATTTCATATTATGAAATATTTATTAATATGAAATCACATGGGCATGAATTCTGGGGTCAGTGTGCAAATTTATTGTTCCCATCAAATAAGTCAATTGACAGAAGAACACTGATTTACTTAACAAAACATGTGCCAATATCCCTTTTGAAAAACCTATATCCCATCACCTAAATAAGTAAATAAAAAGCAAATACTAGGTTAGCATTTTCCAATATGTG